CTTGCCCTAACTAATGTTTCCAATTTGTTAAAATATTTTTTCACTTATTACAAAATTTTACGTATTATTTTCTGTCGTTTATGTTTTATTTCAACACTAATATAAAATCTAAAAAAATGTAAAACTCTCATTTTTAAAATAACATTCAACATATTAAGAATATTATCTCACACATTAATTTTCTATATGAATTTAAAATTTAAATCAAGCAATAATATATATTTATATTTTTACATGTGGTAAAATAAAATTATTAGCTAAGAAAACTGACTGAGTTTCATAAACAAATTCATACTCGCACACGGTGCGGGATAATCATTTAGTACTCTTTTATTTAAATCATGTGAAAATCGGTTTTTTCTTATTTGCTTTATTGAATAATGTGTGTTGAATTTTTATTTACGTTTTAATTGTATTCAAACCCAACAAAGCAATTTATGGCAGGACAAAAATTGCATTAGTTTTTTTTTTTTTTTGCTAAAAGTAAAAATGCGTAATCAGATCCAAGTAAAAGCACAAAGATTAAGAGATCATTAATGGTTACAAAGAAAAAGATCTTTCTAAACAATACAACTATGAAAGTAGGTTGTGGTGGTTGTCAAAAACGTGGCTACTCTAAAATATCAGAGGAAAGTGTTTTTGTAGGTTCTAACAAGTTTTTAGTTTTTCCAGGCTTTTTCCTTTTCGGTTTAAGAAAGTTTGAGGCACGTGACGGCGGATGAAGAACTTGTCTCTTGTCGCTCTAGATCCTAGCTAGCAAACGTGAATGGATGAAGCTGTTCCCGCGAGTCGAAGTCCTATGGTTGCGGGTTCAGGTTTGCTTGAACAGGTTTTGTGAAAATTGGAGTAACCCTTCAACCGTTGATCCAAGTAAAGACTCTAAAAAATTTCAAAAACACTTAAAAACTGTTTAAACCCCATTAAAACCTATGTTACAAAACCGTAAAAGCCAATGTATATTACTAACCAAAGAATATACATCCTAATGATTTTGAGGAGGAAGACTATTGCATCCATAATGGTAGATCCCCCACACGTCGAAAACTCGACCAGTCCAAACAGAAATAAAACATCTATACGAAGTCATATCTTACGATTCTTTGTTCGAGCACGGGCATCCACGGCCAATGAAGTATAGGCGTGTCAACTAAAATTTCATTGGATACATTTTATATAAGTTAATTATTTACATTTTATAAACAAAAAAAAAAGATAATTATTTACACATATGACAGATGTAGATCAGTGTAAGGATGATAAGTTTTAGTACGACCTACTATATATATAGTTGTATAGTTTCATATCATCAAACCATTACATCGTAAACTTCAATCGAATTTTACAGCCTTTATATAAAACGTAAGCAAAATACCCCTCACTACCTCTATTATGAGAGGCCCACCCACACACACATATATATTTGATGTCGTTGGAGAAAAGAAACATTAAAAACATAACCCGTTTATAACACATTTCAAACAACGACTTTCTTTTACTACACCGACACCTAAAATTGTCTCAATTCCTTTTGCCTGACAAATAATTCGTCCAACTCTTC